GTATACTCCATGTGCTCAACATTAAGACCACTGACAGGCATTCATTGGGCCTTGCTGTTGATTTGGTCCAGAGTTTGCTTTAAATCGGCCTCTATCGTTTCTGGGTGGTGTCATGCCATTTGGCTAATATTCATGGGTCCTTTTTCTTACCTTGTTGCTATTTATTTCAAGGGGTGCATGAGTGTGTTCAATCGCCTAAATCCCAGGGGTTATAAGAAACAGTGTCCTTGGTAGTCTCGCAAGCAGTTGTGTCATTTGTGCTTGCCAGTCAGTGTGTCCTTGGATTAGATCAGTTCCTTAGATCGCTGAAGAGCAATGGGAATATTGGCTGCATCTTGCCTGGGCATGATGAGCAGTCCAATGGAATGTGTTCAATTGAATGCATGTGCGACACACCCAAGCCATAACACAAGCATGTCATGATGAGGGACCATTTGCGTTGATGTCTGATTTTGTTCCGTATTGCAGCCAAACGCCAAAGATGATTTCATTGATGTCATGCATGCGTATCAGACTTTGTCTGACCCAGCGGCAAGAGCTAAGTACGACACCAAGCTACGACTGGTGAGCAAGTGGTGCAAGAGCTAGGAAATGAAGTTGTATGGGGAAGCTCCTTATTTGGTGGAAATTCTTAGTGGATGCAAATATCAGCTTTGTGACACAGCACTGCTTTTCTTCTAACAAGCAATGTCTCCACATTGTGACATGTACAAGGATGACAATAACCCATATCACTGAACCTGCCAGTGGTTTCATTCCAGCTCAGCTGCTTTTATCACATTTGAAACCATTACTATTTTCTGGCTGCATCACAGCCCCTGCAAGGAAATGTGGTTTTTGCCCGTCCAGATCTCCCCACTCAGTCCATTCAGCTACCTGAGAGATGTGATAGGACAAGAAGACAACTCATGGAGTTTTGATCCGTGAACCGAAGATCACATGACATGCATTCAGGAGGAGCATGATCATTTGCACCATGTTTGGGGTGTTTCCTGTTGTGTTTTTTTGTTACACTGTTTCAATGTCCAGGGTTTTGATGAGCGGTCATCTGGCAAGGACGGCTTTCGTCCTGGCTATGATTGGAGCTATGAGACTGGTAGAAAGAGAGAAGAAGAGATTGCTTTCAGCTTGGTGGGTGCTGCATGCTGTGACAGGGTGGCAAGCGATGTATATTTCCCTACTTGCAAGTGTCTGCTCCGAGCGCTGGTCAACCCCAGCAATTGTGTTGCACCAGTGCAGATGTCCAGTGTTGCATTGCCTTCTGCCAGTGCCACATCTTCACTCTCCTTGGCAAAATGACACCAGCACTTCACAGGGAACTGTCGCGCAGTTATCGTCCTCCAGACAGACAGCTGGAAACAGCTGGTTGACAAGTGGAGGCTGCATTTTAGACTGTGCCAAACAGAACACTGGTGCCAAATGATCAACTCACGTCTGGCTTCTCCCGCCATGGCCAGCATTTGTTGGCTCTCCTTGTTGCTTGCAGTCTTTCACCCACCAGACACAAGGACACCACTGTGAACACACACTTTTGCCCAGAGAACCTTCTCATTGTTGTTTGCTGTGGTTGAAATACTTCGTGAGAACGAGACACTGAAGATAGCCTAGGGCTTTTCTTTCTGCTGCTGCAGCCACCAGTTAGGAAATGGCTGTGTTCGTGGAGCAGCAGCGATGTCATCGCATGGACATTTGGACTTTGGGGTGTTTGGCAGTCAACAACTGCTGCTGCATCCAAAGACCCTGCATGTTGGATTCATTTCAGCTGCTTGTTTGCAGGAAGATTTGCTTCGCGAGCTGGAAAAGGAACTCAACATATGGACCTCGAAGAGGTCCAAGGAAGCGCCTCCAAAAGGCTTCTGGGCTGCTCTTGGCGAGGTGCGCCGATACCCTCGTGCCGATCATCTGCGCCACCAACTGCAACCATTGTCTCACCTATATGTTTTCTCCAACTGTGATATGGAATTTGTTGTTGGAATCTTGGAAACGAACAGGCATTTTTCACTTTGTTTTGCTTCTGCACCTGAGCAGTGCCAGAACCCATGCAATGGCAGTGGGTGTGTGCCAGTAATGCGATGGCTTGCAATGCCCTCTGCTTGGGAAGTCCAATTTCCCACAATCCTTCATTCTGCTGCTGCACAGGAGTTTGTGGAGTTCCTTGAGGAGGGCATCGGAATCAAGAATGAGGGTGATGCCAGTCAAACGACCCAGAGACGCTCATCTTCTGGAAAATCAAGGCCTTCCAGTAGGACGTCCCAACCATACAGCAACTCAGAGAGGTGTGTATGATCACCGATTTCTCGCAGCCGAGAATCCTTTTGGATTACTTGAAGGCTGAGCTGCAAGTACTGCTGGCAGAGCGGAGCAAGGCAGCAGAAACAGTCTATGTGGGTGCCTGACCCATTGACAGCCCGTCCTGTCGTATACATGGAAATACGAAACATGCATGTGCATGCACAACTCCTTATGAAGTTGTGTGTGTGGCCCTCCATATGTCTGGGTGTTTTGGTTTTCCTGGTGTGCCGTGCAATGCTGCTAGAAAGATGAATGCAATGAAGATGTGGGACGTACGTTTGTGTGTTGGTTCGCATGAGCAAATAGGCTGGGATGTGGTTAGTTTGATGGCTGAAGCATGAGCACTGCTGCTCGTGGAAACCAGCGCTTAGGACCTGGGGTTTGTAGGTATGGCAAGGGATCAACGGGCCACGTCGTAGTCGCCCCACCCTTGTGGGCAATGAAAAAAAGATACTCTGCCAAGTCCGGGGTCTATTGTTAGACTTTTATGCTAGTCCAAGCAGCTACAGAGATATTCCAAGAGAGTTGGAAGTCGCCAACGGCTTGGTTACTGGGCAAATTCCATGTGTCTGTGGACAGCAAACTGAGAACTGTGCATCAGAGGGTATAGCGTTGGGCCAGTTGCAGTGTGTGCTCTGAGAAGAATCGTTTGTGCTGTGTAGACCACGGGCACCCACAACAGAAACGCCACCACCAGCCACCAGAGACGAAAATGAGGAGGTAGAAGAGATGCTGAGAGCTTTGAAGAAGAAAAAGGGGCTGTGACTAAAGGTGTGCCACTGGGAAAACCGGAACTGGCAAGATCAGTTTGCATTTGTTTGTGAGTGCACGCCCAAGTGTTGAAATGGCAAGGATGGTGGCAGCGCTCCTTGAAGATCCTTTCACGCAGGGCGCCGTGAGTCTCCTTTCAGTTTTGTGTGGTAGGTCTTTTTGAGCTGGGGAACAGGCAGGGCTCTTTACTGAGGGAAGGCTCTCCTAGGACACAAGTACGAACACAAATTACTTCAAAACATCTGTAAATTGCGTGTTGTTTCTGGTGCCGCCAACGTTTTGACAGGATTCTGCCTGGTTGCACAATTGAAATGTGAGTGCGTATTGCATAAGTTCAGAGATGGTGTCTGTGATAAAATATGCGCTTCAATCTGTTCGAAACACGGCGCTGTGCAGGCCTTATTTTCCACCGAAAGTCATGGAATTGACTTGATGTCTTTGAGGCATGTCCAAGCGCCCATGAATCTGAGGGCATCGCATGGGATACTGGACAGCTCAATTCACCATCAACGCTGTCTGAGCACCACTGCGTCCGGTGACACATATGTGGACGGCGGAATGCTCCCTTCACAGGACACAGCTGTGGCCGTAAGTCGACAGTGCCCAGGGAGTTGTCTTCTTCTGATCACAGAGGAGGCTTTGGGTCTGTTTGGCAGTGCTAAAAGGCCACACTGCAGTGAACATTTTTCCGCATAAGCTAGAATAAACGCTTGACTGAACTATAATGTGACGACACCATAAAAACTGAATTCTAGAGCTTAAGCCGAAATGGAAAGTGAATATTCAAGCTGCGGTGATGACAACTTGCAACAACATCATTATCCTGGGATTCGGCTGGAGCCCTATCCAACCACTGCAGAATAACTGCATAGAATGCAACACGTGGGGCAGTATGGCATCACAAGTGCCAGCGACATGTGGAATTGAAGCCCAGAAGCACGTTGCTGAAAACTGGAATAAAAATGTGCCCTCAGTTGCTGGCGGTCAACATCGACACTTGCGGCAGTGTTGAAATCGCTGCCATGTCATGTTCCTTCATACTGACGTGTGACTGACAGATGGTGACGGACACAACACCATAGCTCTCTCTGAGATTTGGCATGAGCATTCGCCGGGCGTTGCAAACAGGAGAACAAAACAAACAGGGGACTGTAAGAATGAGCTAGCTGATTGAGATTCCATGAATGAAAGGCACAAGACCTCTGTATAATTCAAGAATCATATCGATAATGGAGCAAGCGCTGCATCTGTGCTTTTTTTGGAAAATTTATGTGCAGTTTGGGGGTGTTTGTGAGCTGGAATTGTTCACAAAATGTAAAACTGATGCCGAATGGCTGGCCAGGTTGGTGACAATTTCGTGCATTTAGGGACGACTGCTTGGTGGGCCTTGGCGTCCAACGCACGTGCGAGGTGCGCTGGAGATGCTGCCAATCGGCCCCAAATGTGCGACGTTTTCAAGGTTGAACTTGCCGCACAAAACCCTTGCCCAGGATCCAACCCTGATTGGCGCTGGTGCTGGCCACATATATTCGGCCAGGGTCTTGAGAGTCCACCCACGCTAATGATCAATGTTCGTGATTAGTGACAAATAGCTATGGATTGCAAGGAGGGGCGCTCCAGGCGACCATCATCGCCTGCCACCTCCAGGTGTCCAAGCAACGATAGGGAGGAGAATGGCGTGGAAGAGGGATGGCCATAAGGCCGCATCACATGCCTGTGCTGCAGTAGCCGTGGTGATATGTGACCAGCTTGGAGTGTGTAAGCCTAAGAGGGGTTGCTTCTCACAGACTGTCCTTCGAGCCGGGTTGGAACTGCTGAAGTGTGGAACGATGGACAAGGGAGTGTCAAATTGACATCAGCTTGCATGCTTCCTCCTCGTTTCCCAGCCCCCTCTTCCCACCCTGCAGCCATCCCGAGACATCTCGAGACGGGCCCCCTCACCCCGTCGGCGCCCAGACCTCGTCGCCCTCGTCCGCCAGGACCTCCCTCGGGTACACCGCCCCACCAGCGTCCAGGTACCTTCCCCACTCCACCAGCTCTCCCCCCCGCAGCTTTCCCAGCGCCATGAACTCCTCCACGCTCACCCACCGCGCCTCCAGCGACTCCTCGTCCGCCTGGCTCTTGGGCGCCTGGGACTCGTCCGCCGGCTCGGCGTAAAAGATCACCCGCTGCCTGGCGCCAGCCCTCCCCATGGGCGAGTATTCCACCCTTAGGATGCCCTTGATGGAGATGTCGATCCCGGCCTCCTCCTTGGTCTCTCGATGCGCAGCCTGGAAGAAGTCCTCGCCAGGCTCCAGCCGTCCCCCCGGCACCCACCAGCCGCGGTCGCGGGTCTCGTTCACGGCCAGGTACTTGTTCTGGGCGTTGCGGCAGATCACGATCGAGAACCCCCAAGTCGGGCAGCCGGTCTCCTTGGTCCAGCGGGGATCCATTCCAAAGAAATGGTTCAGAGGTCAGTGAGAAGAGCCACAGCAGGGCGCAGCGCCCCTGGCCGGCGGCGCACAGGTCCAAGGTCGGATACCTCAACCTTGTCGCGCGATCGTCCAAGGCTGGTGGAACACGGGTGTGGGACGTCCGCACATGGGGACAACACGCTGCATCCCAGCTTCGCCGTGAATGCAACCCGGCTCCCCACCGCCTCCCACCTCGTACCTACCGTTTCCACTGCTTTTAGGTTAGGCCCTGGACGCCCAAAACAGGAGGGCTCCACAGCCACCAGAGCCATCGACCGTGCTCTCCGGTCGGCCGCCACAGGCAGCGCCGGCGGCGCGTCGCGCCTCCCCGCAGGCGATGCTGGGCAGATCCTTGAGCCGCCTGCCGAGAGGCCAGGGCATCGATCTGCAGGCGGCCTGGGTCGCCGCCGCCGCCGCGATTCGGGACGCGCCAATCGCTTCCGGTCGCGTCTTTTGCGGTGTCGACAACCTCTGGCCGAGCGCGTCACGGCGGTCCTTCTTTGAACGCGATTGCGTCACGCGCCTCATCAGCCTGAGGGCCTTCGACGCGGCCAGGGCAGCGCCCACGGCCGTGGATCCGACCCGACGGGAGGGTCGATGTGGCCGTCGATGGCGAGGCTCATGCCCATTCGTCGCCGCCGCTGCCTTTGTGGATTTTCGGTCAGACGGGCGGTGGGAGGCCGTCCTGGCGAGGCTGGGCCAGATCGGGGATGCGGACCTCGAGCCTTCTCATGTCGCCGCGGCGTTCAACCGGCTGAAGAAACTGGACGGGCATCCGCCGGCGGGGGAGCTGAAACGGCTGGCGGCGACCGCCACGGCCGTGGCGGATAAAATGTCCCCCAGGGATGCGGCTGATGTGATTCATGCCTGCGCGAAGCTGAGGCTGCATTCCGGCCCCCTTTTGGACGCGATCTCGGACAGGGTGACGCGCTCGGGTGGCGGGCTGAAGGCATTCAGCTCCCGCAACTTCGCCGTGCTGGTGTACGGCCTGGGGACGCTGCACAGGGACGGGCGGGCAGTGTCGGAGGCCGTGTCGAGGCTGCTCTCGGGTGTCGGGCCGGAACTGAGCCGGGAGGGCCGGCGGGGGGCGCTGGACGCCCGGCAGTTCGCGAACGTGGCCTACGGACTGTGCCTGTCGGGGATCAGGGAGAAAAATGCTGCGGAGGCGCTGTGTGTTGGGGCCAGGGCGCCTGGGTTTCTGGAGACCTTCGGAGAGCAGGAGTTCTCGAACCTGGTGTTTGCTCTGGGGGGGATGGGCGTGAGGGAGGGCGAGATGCTGGGGGCCCTGGCTGCAGAGGTCGTCAGGCCCGGCAGGCTGAGGGGGCTCAAGGACCAGGGGCTGGCCAACGTGGTGTATGGATTCGCGCAGATGGGGCTGAACGACGGGAGGGTGATGGCCGCGGTGCGGGAGGAGGTGTGCTCGGGGGGCAGGCTGGAGAAGATGGCGAACGTGACGCTCGCAACCCTGATTTACAGCATGGGTGTGTTGATGGCGCGTGAGGAGGTGCTCGTGGACGCGCTCGTTCGGGAAGCCACGAAGCCAGACAGGCTGCACAGCTTCACGGAGTTTTGACCTGTGTCCACCATGGCTGGGAGTGTTGGGGAGTATCTGACCCGAGTGTTCAGGACCTGGCTTTGGAGATCGTCAGCCCTGGGAGGCTGGCCAGGTTCACTGAGCGGGGCCTGTCCAACGTGATCTACGCCTTCGGCCTGCTGGAGGCGCCCTGGCTGCGGTGCTCATCGGTGCGGCGAGGGAGTCACAAGCACCCTCGGGCTCAGCAGGATTGCAGACGGGGCCTGTCGGGCAGTGGTCTATGCTGGGCCTGCTGAGCACTCGGTGTCCCGACAGGATGTTGAAGACACTGGGCGACGAGGTGCTTCAGGTGGAGAGGATCGCGGATTTCACAGAAGCGAGCCTGGCGAACATACTCATGATTCTCACCAAGCTGGGCTATACCGAAAAGGCCCAGTACGCCCTCCTGCTCAACGAGATCGCCAAACCCAGCAGGCTGTGGAATATGTCGGAGAAGGGGATCGTCGGCATCCTGCGCAGCCTCCAACGACTGAATGCAAAATCCCCAAACCTGACGCGGGCCCTGACAGCCGAGCTCATCACAGACAGGCGCCTGCACGCAGTGAGCCCGCAGGGGTGGTGCAGCACCCTGATGAGCCTCTCCAGACTGGGAGGCGTCGGTGAGGATGTGATCATCAGGATAGCTGGCGAGATCTCCAAGCCCCTCAACCTTGAGCAGCTCCTCCCCAGTGACGTCGCTGGCGTCCTCGGGAGGCTTGCCGCCATCGAAGTGAGCCCCCCCGGTGCCCTGGACACCATGCTGGAGTGGATCTCTGAAGAGTCGCGCCTCCAGGAGCTGACAGAGAATGAGGTCTGCCGCGTGTTCTGCGGCCTGCCCAACCTCGACATCCAGAATCTGCCTGTGCCCACCGTCCTGCTGCGCCACATCACCAGGGCATGGCGCCTGAAGCTTCTGCAACCCAGGACGCTGGTGCTCTTGCTCGAGGCGGCCATCGAGATGGGCCTGGTTGAAGGGGAGGGGGCGCAGGCCCTCGTCAAAGAGGTCCTCAAGCAGCACAGAATTGAGGCAGTGTCCGTTCACTATCTGTCGAGGGCGCTCATTGGCGTGTGCAAACTTGGCGATGGCTTTGCTGCCAGGAACGACGCCCTGGAGGCCTTGATGCATGAGGTCATGAAGACCAGCCGACTGAAGGAGCTGTTGGAGCGCGATTTACTGGCAATGGTTTCTGCCCTCAAGGCGTGCGGGTATCCTGGAGAGGGGCTGGAAGAAGCCGTGAAATGGAAGATTGCCGCCAGGTCGCTAGTCCAGAAGGATAAAAGGGAACATCGCAAGGATGTGGAGTCTGTGCAAGGCGCGGAGACGGGCAGGATGCAGTTGGCTGCATGACGTCCGACGCGTGGACGCTGTGGATGCTGCTCTTTTGTGATTTCACTGATTTCATTGATTTCATTGTGCATGTAATTTAAGGATCACTGCTCGCTCTCTGGGTTCTGCCCTCCACATGTTCCTATCTCTTGGTTTCCACCGTCCTTCAGTCGTCAACTTCTCTGTTGGGGCCATCACAGTTCTGGCTGAGCAGAGTGGCGGCCGCCCAGAAAAGCACAATACCCAGTTACAGGCATGATGTTCGTTGAAACAGCCCCACGCCTCTTGAGATGCGCCTCCATGGCTTGACCGCCTGACACCACCCACAAGTGTCGCCCACTGGCCTTGGGCCTGTCCCGTTGCCAAACGGGGAGTGGACCGGTGCACGTTGCCAGTACTATGCATCATGCCTGCCCGCTCTGGGCCGATGGTCTTGAATTTAACGCTCCAGATCAGCAGTCCAGCACCACACGGTGTGGGGCAGTCCAATGTGCAGCCCCATAACCAGATTCGTGGAGATGTTGGCTGCATCTGAATGAACTCACACACCTGGCAGGATGCGTCCTTGCCAATCTATGAGCAAGTGTACACCAGCTGCCCCAAAAAGTCTCCAGCCATTGTGGTTGCGCTTTTAGGAGCAATTTTAGCCATGCCGCTGTCAGACGCCTTACAATGATCACTGTTCTACACGCAAAACATGGCCCCTCCTTGTTCCTCCTCTCCATCGCGCCCATGGATGGTGTCAACGGGCATATCATGCAATTCGCGATAATACTACAATGCTGCCTCTATATGCTCTGGTGCTTTTCCTCTTGCCTTACCCAAGGCACCTCACAACCCCAATGGTATGTGCACAGCAGGCAGCAGCACAAGCGCAGAGCACCCACATCTGGTGTATGCAAGAGCTCTGGCTGGTTCACAACTGGACCACAAGGCCCTGAGGATGTTCAGCTACGCGCCAGACTTCGGGGTTCTGGGATTCTGTGTCAATGCAGTCAAACGCCATCCGCAATAACTGTTTGCCATAAAGGCCAGCAACTCGGGACGCCAAATCCCCGGCCAACCTCCTTGCCTGCACTAATACCTACCCTAAGGTGGGTGAGACTGTCAACAAGTCTCACACATATGTCTCCCACGCTCCTTGGCGCCTGCTACGCATACCCAGCCGCGTTAAAGGCCTCTATGGCGTCCTCCTGGGAGTCGAAATAGGCTTGGTACATCTCCCCTGCAATCAAACAACTTGAGCTTATCAGCAGAACGCCAATAGCGACAATCGAGATCAGGGGCCATGGGCCCCATGTACTTTGTGTGCTATTCACTACTGTGCATCCGTTGCTGGGAGCAGTGCAATAGCATGAAACAAGACCATTCCAGTCATTGGGGACTTGACTCTCCAGTCTCTTGTCCTAAGCCAACGGCAAGCTGCTTTTTGAAAGAGAAGTGTCACAGGCTGCCCCACATCAACAACCTGGTGTTGCAACTCATTGGAACAATCCCTGTCGATTCGTGCATCCAGGTTTGTACTAAAGATCCAAACAACAGATAAATGCGATTCGTTTGGATACCGACACAGGCACTGGGCATCCTTTCCTACTGCCTTCCCAGACCCTTCATTGCTTCACACCAGCAGCCGTTCGCAGATGCAATGTGTGGGAGCCACAATATGTGTGGTGTCCAATGTGGCTGTGCCTATCCTCCAAAAGCCAATAACCCTCTGCACTGAACTGGACATTCTCGACTGTGAAGAACACTGGGGCGGTGTCATGTGTCCGTGAGGAATGAACACGGAGCAAGAGCTTTTCCTGTATGTGCGCCAAAAGGTAACCATAGAAGTTCCGCTAGACATCAGGCGAGGCGTCTTGCACAGCAAAGGGGAGGCTGTGTGCAACGCCAGGGCACCCACCCACTATCTCTATGGTTGCTGTCCACACCCCGTGCTGAGAAAACACCTTGCTCTCTGGCTGTGGAACCACGTCAGGGATGGCTCGAAAGACCCCATCTGGCGCAGCATAACACTGCAACCATTAAATCTGATTCGCAAAACACCAACGCTGCACCATGGCCACTCCAGGTTAGGGAAGGTACTATGTTGAATTTCGTGCGCTTGCTGTCTCAATTTGACGCTGGGGGGAGGGGGGCTCCACGCCTGTGACACTGACATACTATGCAGTTGCCACAAAAGGACATAAGCTATGGACATGCACAAAACGCCACTGATCATTGGCAAACAACTTGTCAGCTGCTGAAAACCTCCTCGAGAGTTCAATCTTGAAGGAAGGCCCCATATTGTCTCAATCAAGAGCCTTCGGGGCTGCCACCATCGCTTGCCATGGCTTTTAGAATCTCATTTTACAGTCCCTCTATAATCACTGAAACTCTGGTTATTATCTTTCTCAAATATATCTTGAAAGTTGTCTCTCAGGCTATTAGGTAACGGTGCTGTGCCATCCTGGCATCGACACAAGGAGGGGGGCAAGGGGTTTTTTGACCTTAGCGTCAAATTCAGGCTAAGCGTACCAAAATCTACGTAGAGTCTTGCAGTCCCTTGCGGCCAGGGCCAAAATCACATCCTGGCCAGCCTCAGCCCGTTTCCGTGAATATTGCACAGTTTTGCACAGTTGTCTTTCTTACGATCTGGAAACTTGTCGGCGTCTGTCGAATACTGACAGCACTGATCTTCAGCGAAAACCGGTGGCAAATAATGATCAAATTGAAGCCAGTATTGGGTTTCACAGGTGCTTGTCTGCATGGGGGTAGAATCATTTGGACGACTGTCAGCACGAGACGCGGATGGCCTGTGTGAATACAGAGTGAGAGGAATGCTGTCTAGTGCAGTACCTGCATACATGTGGGACAAGTCAATACAGATATGCATATGGTAGAAGCTGTTGCAACAAACTCAGAGGAACCCAGAACACAGCAGTGATGGGCAGCGATATTGCGGCAGTTCGAAAGGCAATGGCATTCGCTTCTCTCGTTACTTGGTGAGCTGTTTCCTTGCACGATGTATCATAATCTCTTTTCATTGTCCCACACACTATTGGCTCGGATACCCAACAAGTCCAAAGCGTGTTCGCACGCATGGCGAAAGCAAGCTTTGGAAATGCAAAACTGCGAGAACGACGCTCCGCGCTGAAGAAAGGACAAATTTCGGTCCACAGGATCTATTGTCCAGCACGTCGTGCGGGCCTCAACGACAACTTATTCAATTCTGCACTTAGCAGTCCATCACAAAATGACATCACTTGGACCACGTTAACTTCCTGAATGTGCCAAAGCACGACCAGTAAAGCTGCCCTCTCCCATGTTGCACTTCCGCCAGAGCTTCCATGTTAGTTCCAGCAACGGAGGTGAGCAAGGACAAAAATATTGAGCATTGTGACGAGGTGCAGAGCTGCTGCCTCGGGACACTGAAGAAACACAGGTTGGATGTTTCTGTGACCGTCGCCGCCTGCCAAGCGTAAGGGGTTTGTCTGTTGCAACTTTTCGACACATTAATATGCCAATATTTTCAGCTATTTTTAGATTTACTTGCATTCTAGAGCACTTAATGTCAAAGCATCCCTCACTTTGACAAGCTGCATTGTTCCCAAGTGCACGTCCGCCAGTGCACGTTCATTGCCTGTTTTAACAACTGTCGACTTGCTACGGTTCATGCTGTCAACAGACCTTGGGTATTCGAACATCCGTGCGTAGCCTCACCTCCTTGCAACCTCCGTTTTTGCAGTCGTTTGGATTGTGATGACTTTGGGGTGGGCTTGGATGCACGTTTTTGCTGCGAGGCACATGCAGACATGCCGTCACCAATATGCCAAAGATCCATTCGGTCACAAACATTCAGATCGGCGACAGACCATCCGCCCAGCTCCATCCCAACAACATTGTTACCCACAAACTGCCTCCAATCACCGTCTTGGTACCATGGACACCGGCCGACGGGTGGCCATGTGCCTCATAGCCATAGAATAGCCATCACGTACAACATCTCTTTCGAGGGAAGCATAGAGACGACGTATTCATCGTACCAAGTCCCTCTTCACGCCGCTTTGGGGATTGTTGACCCGCCTTAATGGCGGCTTCCTCATGCTGTCTTCCTGAGCAACATAAACGCAGTATCGCTGCAGCTGCCATCAATTTCACACCAGACACACAAGGCAACATTCACGCAAACATAATATGTTCATCATTCAGAACGATTCTTGTCTCAGCATGAAGTTGGTGAGCAGGCAGAAAGTGTTTCCTTTGGGACACAACATCTAGGCCACACACATGCATACTATCGCCCTGAAGGGGAGAGGCTAGTGTGTTGTCCATTATGGCAAGGAATCAGAGCAAAATTATGCATAAACACACACACATGGCGCCTGTAATGTTCTCATTGGAAGATGGTGCAACATGGGTGCCCCACTTCAGGCATTGTGCATTGATACAGCAGTGGCTCTGACTGCTCTTTGGTGACTGGAAGATATCTTGCCTGCAGAATGCAAAAGTAAAGGACAAGGAATGACACAGGGCACTGCTGTCCCATATGCCCGGGCTGATAGCAACCAGCCTCAAGGAGTTGGATGGCAGCCAGTGGTTGCAATGGCTCACCTAAAAACAGGTGCTAAGAGCCCTGTTGTGGAGAGGATGACATTCACTCCAAGACAATGCAAGAGTGGCAGAACTGTTATGTAGCATATTGCCTTTGTGGAGCACACCTGGGGACCTCATCGTACAAAAGAATTGCTACTTTAGTTCACTCACTTTGCTGGCAGCTATGCAGAGTCTCTTACCTCAGTCATAGGTCTACCTGCCACTATTAAGCTGCTGTCTGGTAGGTGGGCGAATATCATCACATCTCCAACTTTCAAGTCGTATCGCTGATGCATTTCACTAACGCCCTCCAAGAGATACATGCGGCTCTGATTGTTTATCCAGAACCTTGCAAATACCCACACACTTCAGTCAACCCATTGGCTGCCATTGGCACAGCAACACACCTGTGCTTACCGCTGCCCAGCACATGCGATGGCAGAGAGTTTGGAGATGAGGATCAGCAAAACAATGAAGGGCAAAAATATCCCTTACCCACCCTCAGAGTATGTTGTACAAATGTGCATGTTTGTGAGCAAGTTGTTTGGTGACAGGGAATTGGCAGGGTACAAATCATGCAATGCTGTGCACATGTTTTGGAATTGTTTGTGACAGCAATTTCCACTTCATACTCGCCCGCAAAATTGGCGCATTGACATCGATGATATGTGTGCTGCAATAAGAGCATATCTCAGAAAGGGCACGTCGCACCGGTCTCGTCAAGCACAACTATAGCAAGTACAGCACAAAGGGCCTTTCTTTCAGGTCTGAAACTACCAACTCCAAATTAGCAACTATCCCCACAATTTGGGAAATAAACGTCTGCATGGACTTTCCAAACTCAAGCATCCCAAGCACTTTCATCTGTGGAAAGTATCCATGGCAGATCGGCTGTTCCCTTCAGTGAATGAGGGAAGCAAGCAAACTGCACCTGAATCGAAAGGTGTACTTGTTCCCCAGTGTGTCCGCTGCTTCGATGGGCACCCCTGCTTGATTGTCAAGATGTGGGAAATACTGCTCTGCCACAGCCTGCAGTTTAGAGGGGAGATTCATCGACATCATATGGCCATCACTCAAGACAGAAAATTTGGACACATTTGTGCCCACACAGCTGCACATTGAGAGTTGGAGCCTGCATCAAACATTGACCCCTGTAAAGGCAAGTGTGCAGCATACCTATCCATGGGCAGCCACACCTGTGTGGGCATCTCCACAGCAGTGAGCAAGGGCATACTCAATGAAAACCAAAAAGATGTGAGAGAGCAGGCACCCCAGCTGCCATACAGCCATGGAACCCAAGGCTGCAGCACAGATGGTGAATGTGGAGACGGCAGATTGACCTGTGCAGTGGCCCATCACTGCACCAAATTAACCTTTTTTTCAAGCCAATTTTAGCCACATGGACAGCTTTGAGGGTGTTGGCAAGCCACACAACCAACCAAAGGCAGTGGGACTTCGCCTGGCACCTGCGCGGCGAACATCTGCAGCCCCATCGCAGTTAAACAGCTGCGAACGCAGCAACCACACGCACAAGTCCTTATCCCATGCGAGCCAACCGTCTCTCTGCCACCACGAGCGCACTCCCCCCCACCCCACCCCAAAGGCGGCCAAGGCCCACACCTTGGGCACAACCACCCTGCCGGAACCGTTGGCGTCGCTGGAGGTGAGGGGCTTTTGGTAGAACACGGTGCACCCCATGCTCTCCAGAGCCCTGGTCACTGCCGCCGTGGGCGACCCCCCCACGTCGCTGTCGCCAGCCAGCCCTGTGCCCATGGCCCTGTGCACAGGAAGGCCACCGTGAGAGCAAAAGGGGAAACGCCCACCGCGCTCAATGCCTTGGTCGCACGAGGGCGCCAGCGCAGCGCTGCAATGCACTCCGGAGTGACAAGCACTTTATCGGGGTGAACATGCATCCGGTGTGAACAGGCCTTCATGATGCCAGGACATGGCTCAGGGGCCCAAAGAGCTGAATTGCGCCCCAAGCCACCGCTGTGAAGGCAAGATTACGTCAGGATGGCGGATGCCTGGGGCAAGGAACCTCACGCATGCTTTGGGAAGTCTGCCGCGAAGAGGGTGGATGTGTGATGGGTGGGCAAGAGCAGCCCTGGCCTGCGGCAAACAGCCTGGCGCCTCGGGCCCGGCCAGCAGCTGCCGTAACCATGCATGGCCCCGGACGACCCGCGCCCTCCGCCATCGAGCGCGCGGCCGGCTAGAAGGGCGCGACTCTGCTCTTGATCGCGTCGCGGATCCGCCGCGCGGGCCGCAGGGCTCCCTGCCGATGGCGCCGTCCGCGCGCGCGATTTCTTGCACGGGGAAAGGCGCAGGGGCCTGGCAAAGTCGGCATGCTTCGAACCGCGCGTCGTGAACCGCCATCCCTGCCACTGATTCGACAGCGGGCGCCCAAGCCCCGGTGGCAATCTTTTCCAGTGGCCCTCTCCCTCCACCTGCCTCCCACCCTGCCCCGCAATCGGCCGCCCTGCACGCGTTCAGGGCGCATGGCTCGAAACACCGGCGCAGAGCCGCTGTACTTTAGGGCTCCGGCGCCAGAGGGGAAGATCGCGCTAAGCAACAGGCCCCCGTCGCGCCAGCGCCCCGGGCATTGGCGGCCAGGCGCGGGTGACAACTTGGGGCGATTCGGATCGGCGCATCGCGAGCCCTCGGGCCGTCGGTCGCTCACCCGGGTCGGTCGCCGTGGGCCTTCGCGGCAGGGTGCACGGCGTCGCGGCCAGCAGGTGCGCCGGCTGGGCCCGGTGGCTCTCCCCGTCGGCGCCCTGGGGCGTCGCCGTGCGCAGCCGGGGATATGTCACGGCGCAGGGACGTCGCCGCGCCCTTGACCTCCCCAGCGCTGGCTTGGGGGGAAAAAAGCGGGCGGGGGTGCGGGCTAAGAGTCACATTTTTCTGCTGATAACCGGGACTCTCGGGTTGTGGCAACCTGGGACAACCGAATGGTTGTCTCGCGCTGATGATGGGGTGCCATGGGCGTGGGGTTTGACGTGGTGGTTGTGCTGTGTGCAGTCCGCTATGGGACCCGCCCCATTGGCGACTGCATATAGTCGGTAGCGTGGGCCTGATGAGAGTTCTATATTCCTTCCTGCAAATGCTGCTTCTGGTGTGTCGTTAACAATGGATGATGTGCCCTCTTTTAGATGATGTGCAGAAACTGGGTGGGCGGCTCACCAGGAGCCTTGTCGGGATGAATCTGGCAGCAGCTTTGATACGTATTTGCCATCAAATAGCTGCGGCGCGCAACACAAATTCGCGAACTGTTGGTTTCATGTGAGGTCTGCCATGCCGCACATTCGTGGAATGGTACAAAACGAGAAGTGGAGGCCATATTGTACAGTCAACAGCACAGCAAAGCACTGCAGTTGGGCATGCCCCTGTCTCCAACGAGGCACATGAATGCACAGCCACCTGACGGAGGCCGATGCCAAACCCAAATATGCGGTTCCACTGCCACGAGGACCATGCATGTCAGGGAAGTGGGAGAGAGTGAAGGGCAATAGATCATCACAAAACAGAGCGTCATTTTCCATCCCTACCTTGCAAAAGTTATGTACATCATTCACGCAACTTGCGCTACTATAGGGGGTCGACCTACTCCTGGGTCAGTTTGGCTTCAAGTCATTAAACCCAAGAGAACATTGATCTCCATATATGACCTCCATTCACACCCTGCGCAGCAGCGGGGGCAGAAAGTGGAGGGGTCGTGTGTTGAGTCATTGCACTGAATAGTGCACACAAGCCCCTGAAATTCCTCTTGCGCCACTATGGACGGCCACGTAGCAATATGTTCTCCAGTGTCAACCGTTGTACTGGTTCAAACAGTCAGGGTAGTGTTGGAGATGTGTCAGGCCAGTTGTAGCTCCCTCGTTTGGAGCGACGACAAGGTGTCAGACGTCAAACTCCGCCAGGTACACGTTCCCAGACTCGGAAAGTCGAGCTAGCCGGTCGCTGAAGGAAGCTGATGCCACGCCCAACCACCGGGAGTCGCCCCTTACAAGCACGGACAGATTCTTATGAGTATGTCTTCAATACTTTAATCTGCATGCCTCCCAGCCCGGCCCAACCCCCACCCCACCCCACCCCCTGCCTCCCCTCCGACTCCTCTCCTCCCTTCCCAGGACATAGACTGTGCAACGGCAGTGACGACATAAGCAGTACATGCCGGTGCACTTGATGGACTTTGAGCGGACAAGGGAGTGGGGTAGTATACAAGCAGGGAGGGTACAAAATCCAAGCTGCAAGGACAACTCAACAAGAAAATGGGCAAAACTCATACCAGCAGCCACTCAAGTACGCTGTTACATTAGTGGATCGGAGAAGTCCTTGCGATCATTTTGCCAATGCTGGCCCAACACAAGTTACCTGCGGAATTGGATCCTATATTGAGCTCTGTACATTGGTTTCTACAGTATGCTGCACTATTACCAGGAACATTTTCGTTGCGCAGTTTATGTTATTAATGACACCTTATTGTTTGGTTATCATAGCTATCATACATTGTTTGGCAACGCTGTCCAGCACTTGCTGGCAACTGACTGCAAACAATTCGTGCGACTGTCTATCATGTCAGCCTGGACGACAGTAAGCTGCACTGGTGCAAGCTAAAACGACTCCATTACCAAACAAGCAGATCACGTGGCCCAGCCCAATGGAGTGTGAAGCTTCCGGTACAAACGACACTGGTGTGAAGTCATGTGACACTCATTCAGCAGGCTTCAAAGATCAATGCCACATGCGTTGCACACCATGTGATGTTTCACACATCGCTGTTTGAGACTAACACCTGAAAGACGGCCCACGTGACGTGCTTTGAGCTGTCGCCGATGTGCCTTCCACTGCCCTGTGCTCTGATTCTCGGTTCCACAGACCACACACTACTTCGTAGTCCAATCCTGCAATGCAAAGCACACTCCTCATCAGCA